TGCAAATGGGACTAGAATGGGACTAGAATGGAGAGGGATAAAAACCCTGAGGAATATTTTGATTGAACAGTGCGCTTTCTCTTTTTACTGCTACCCCATTTTATTGAAGAGATCTGAATCTGACCAAACATCACTCAATATAGTAGTAAGGTCTGCAACCAGTTTCGTTTCGAAAACCAGTTTTGTAGCGTCGGGAGCATGCTCAATCAGAGCGGGGTATTTCAAAACAAGTAACATCATTGGTAAAACCGCGCACGGCTTGTGAACCTGTCATTCACAATAGCAAATATATTGTGATTTTACTCGAGCCCGCTCCTTTTGTCATCATTGCAACGAATGGTGCATCTTAGAGCCAAAACACTCTCGATTATGCAGTTCAGCGTGTCCGAGGCGGTGAGCCGGCCTCCGCCGCTGTGATGGACCTCAACATTTCAGGAAGCACGCTGAGTACGTGGGTCCGTAACGCGAAGAATGTCGTGACCCGACAGCGGCGAGGTCCAAAGCCTCTGCTGCCGACAGATGCTGCGGATGCAATCCAAGAATGGGTCGTTGGGCGCCAAGTTGTGCGCCAACCGGTAGGACGTGCTGAGATCAAATAGAAAATGGTGGATACATCTGAGCTGGTCGCTGGTAGGGCTGTCACAGGAGGCTGGTACACGCGGTTCAGATTGCGCCACGGATCGCTCCGCTCAAAAGCTGTCCAAAACTTGCAAAACTATCGGCTGTACCAACGTTCACCAATAATGGCAAAGGTCATTATCGTAAATGGTGCTACAGCCGACATCGTCTTAAACGTCGATGAAACCGCATTCTACAAAATGTCAAAGGAAAGCGTGTTTTTTTCGTTTGACCCTTTAAAAATGTGTGGGCATCTGCTTCAACTACAAGTTTCACATGGCAAGTATCGCTTGTGGAAGCGCATCGGGCTTCGTTGTGCAGCCTGTTTTCATTGTTCTCGGAAAGGCCGTGCCGCTGCATATTCCTAATAACTGTTACGCACCTGGTGCTGGAATTACGGCGACCCCGTCTGGTTTCATAAGCTCGGACTTATTTGAGTCATTGCTCGTGGTTTTTTAGAAGTCTGTCTCAGTCACCGTAAAGCGTCCTCTCCTCCTGGTAATGGATGGCTGTACCCCTCATTGCTCGCGCTCTATTGTCGAGAAAACAATCAAGCTAAACATTATGATGGTTATTCTGCCTGCAAACGCAACATACCTTTTTTCAGCCTCCCGATGTGGCTGTTTTCGCATCGTTTAAGGGTAAGCTTTGTGCTCTAGTGAATGAGTTGGTCGACGAGTATCCTGAGAAGGTATTCTATTGACAAAACTACCGTGGTAAGCATTTCCTGTTTAGCCTGGACGAGATGTCGGTTTTCCACCAACATTTCGTCTGGCTTTCAAGTGTGTGGACTATATATCTTCTGTCGCTGGTGAGGATGCACCAGCGCATATCAATCTTCATATGAAATGGCAGCCCGGCAGACTTCCGGGTTGCGGATTGATTGATGTAGGAGCTGACAATTCGCCGTGATATTCTGATGCTGCCACAGCCAGCGACGAAGGTAAGAAGAAGAAAGACGGCCTCAGTTGGCGTTTACATTTCGACTGCTAAGCGGCTGGATGATTTGGAGTGGGAGAGCACAACAAAAACAAAGCAGAAGAAGAGACGCACACACCAGTTATTTAATGAGTATCAGGCTGTCCGTTCTATGGGTCCTGACCCGAGTCATTATTAAGTTTGGGACCTAATCGAAATATCAATTTTCATGTTACCCCTGTCGTCATACTTGTAAGCGCGAAGAGATACACAGCGATGACAAGGACTTCGGGCATCTCAATGCTCTCGGCCACAGCAACGTCAGCCTCACAGGCCCGTAATTTAGTCAATGACAGCGCTACTCAATTACAGATAGAGGAGAGTGAGCGTGCGACGCTCCAAACTACGTTGGATTCGCGTCCCATCAACACCAAAAGAAAATACGAGGGTTATCAGAAGGAGTTTGTTTTGTGGTGCCACGACAAGCACTTCTGCGACGGTTCTACAGTCACAAAAGGCAAGTTGCATCTTTCCCTGTCCGAGCAGGTCGTGGGAAGAGAATCCAAAAAGAAAAAGGGAACGACTGTCGGAGGGTCGACTGTATGTGGGTACGCAAACGCCGTTGTCGACCTATATAGTCAACAGGTGGCACTTCGAGTGAACTCAAACGAGCACCCTCGGTCCGCTCAAGTAAAACAATTGTTAAGAAATGTGCAAGCTAAAAGTACTGAAACAAAAAAGAAAAATTACCAGGATCGCGGTGTTGGATCTCTCCTAGACGGATACCACTCGGAATTGCAGTTTCGACAGATTTGTGATAGTGTTTTCTGCTTGAAGATCTACGCGGACGCGCTGCGTTTCTAGTTTCTCACTATGGTTTGCTTCGCGGTGAGAATATACGTGACTTGGAGCTCGCCGATATGTTCTCACAGCCTCTTGATAACGAGGGCTTTCAGCCTTGCACACCAATGGTTCTATTGATTCAACACGGGAAAACTAACACGTATGGGAAACTCCAGCATGTTGGGTTTATGCGGAACAAAAACGTACATTTGTGTCCAGTTGGATCTGTAGCCTTTTATTTTTTGAGCGCTTTCACGTCGATTTAGAGCCACTTCCATCGTTTCAACAGTCTAGAGATTGGTACGACATCAACTTTCTATGCGGTAAAACTCGGACCAGGTCTATATCCTACGAAACTCATAAGAAGAGCTATGAAGCCGTTTTTAAACATCTTGGGCTGACGTTTAACAAAAAAAACTCACATCAATAGACAGCAAGGTGTGAGGCAGCTTGAGAGTGCCGACGTCGACATATCACAAACACGCCGACACGGTCGTTGGGGACTGGATACAGTGGAAGCTGTTTACTCAGCCCCTTTAGCCCGAGAAGCTATCCGCGCACTCTCTGGTCACCCTCCCAAGTCTCGACTATATTATTTGGATCGTGCCACTCTTGAGCCACCCGAAGAGCTCTTGACCGATATTTTTCCGGGCCTGCGATCATTCAAAGGAAAAATTATATCCGAAGAATGGGAACGCAATTTAGCAGCACGCGGGTTCATTGGAGTTTTTTAGAGTTTCTTGCGGATCGTGCTAGTACAGGACTTCTGCCAATACTATTTGAAACATCTCCTTGACTAGAATTCGGCATCACAAAGTCTTCGGAGATTGTTTTCAGCAGTATCGAACCAACCTTTCTGCTGCCATGCTAACAGCTCAGCATCCAGTGGAATCACAACTTCAAGTGGCCATGCCACTTTAACAGAGCAAATACGGACTCAACACGCTGCTGTAATGGACAAAGTAGAAGCAAGGCATAAGGACCTGGTGAATGTAGTTCAGCGACTGGAAGGACAGCTTACCTCATTCCTTCAAGGCGAGGTCGCGTACCGCATACTGCCTGTTCGAAATAATGGCAACGATAATATTAACCGGACGTCAGATCGTATCCATACAGCCAGTGTCGATACAACTCACATTACCCCGTTAGAGACGCCACCGACGAATATAGGAAACCCTCCTCAATATGCTATGAGCCGTGGTGTATCTACGGTACGCCAGCTATGGACTGAATGGCATGAAGGTATAGCAAATCAGCCATCAATTGAATCACTAGAGCGTATGTATGGAACCAAATGGCGATCATCTACAAGAGAGTCAAAATTCTTCTCGCGGCGCTTAAATGTGATTAAATACGTACGGTGTCTAGTACGACGTGGACTGTCAGCCGAATCCGCCATTGTTAAAGCTGATGGTGAGCGTGGAACCAGAAGTATCGATGCTTTCTCTAAGTGGTTACGCAGTACAGATCACATTAGTCATGTATAGTTTTAACTTCAGATCATGTAAATTATCCCGTTCGTTACCTCAGCGCATATCACATGTCAGCATGAGTTGATGATTCATTCGTATCGCGCATGGCGGTAAGCTCTACACCAATAAATACATGTTGAGTTAGTAGCTGTTACTTGTACAAAGCCTCAGCCACGCGTTTGTTGTCAAGCTCTATAGAATGATATTATCAGCATAGCGGTACTGAGCACCCTAATATCATCGCAATAGTTAGCACGAGGCCGACCAGGGCACATTACACACTGACCATTCGCAGGGAAGCACAAGGCCACCAACCCGCAGCAACGACTGGTGACTGGAAGAAGACTGTCATGCACGAAGCCTGTAGTGCTCTTGTGGAAGCTCATAATCTGATCTTTACTGCGCCCACGAGAGGGACAGAGCTCGTCGGTTGAGCACCGTTAGCGGAGCGCTTTAAAGCCTCGAAGTGCTTGTAGCGTTAGGCTGCATCCGCGGGCGATACGCGGCGGTGATCACAGCTCTTCCACTGCTTGGCAAAGTCGTCGTCTCTGCTTCTCAATGAGTCTTGGTCTTGGTGTGATTTTATTAAATGGCACACGCCTGCATTTTTCATACTTTAACCCAATAAGGTCACAGTATTTAGGTCACGACCTTGCGAGTAATATCTGTACATATTTATTAAAAAACGGCTGGTATCTTGAGATATCAGGTCCAAGGTCATGACCGAGTCATGACTTTTTGCGTTTTACTTATCGATACCAGTGTATAAACAATACACTTGCATATATTCATCGCGGAGAGTTAAAGTTTGCAAGGTTGCACGGCGACATACCCTGCTGCGATGCACTCGGGGAACTCGAGCCCACACCAAATACATTGGCCCTCAATAAACACTGTCGCGCTAGTTTTTGGAGCTCTGTCTCCCCCATTTTGGCCCTTCGCTTTTGTAAATCAATACCCTTAGCAAGTCATTGTAATGATGATTTCAGCCTTAACCAACCACATATTATACCACATTTTGCTCTTGCGGATATATTACGTGATCTCATTCGCTGAGACGCAACAGAGACGACCGCTTTCAAAACCTGTGAGACTTCATCGATAATTCTTTTACAGGAAAATAATGAAATGGGTTCAGAAATGACTTGCACACCTTATCGAATTATAAATTTATGATAAAATAAGCGATTTACATACAAATATCAATCCCTTGTCTACTTCGACCATCTCCTAGCACAGCAGAAAAACAAACGCATCTGATCAATTTAAACACACCTGCTGTCTGTTACTCTTCCACAACCCAGCTAATGAACAATTCATTAAAGACGGCCTCTGGACTGTCGACTCCTACCCATCCACTCAGCGCGTACACAACTTCCAGTATCTTCATACACCCCGGCGTCAATCCACTTGCCTCATGCCAACACTGTAGGTTCAGTTTCAGCTCCAGCAACAGCTCCGATGGCAGGAGCCTCTTCGTGTTCAGTGCTCTTCAACACTTCGGCGCTATCAGTCTCGTTATTCTCCGCTGCAGGTTCCTTGTTGTCTTCATCTTCGTCCTCGCTATAGTCTATCGTGAAGACGCCCACAAACTTGGAATCCCTGGCATCTGCTGCCTCCACATTGGGATCCTCAGGCTCTTCAAGAGCAGCACGAAGCATCTCGTGTGTCACCTCGTCGCTCTTCTCTTCCTGGTCGTCCGTAGAGGACCCGTGATCACTGCCACCGTCTTCAACTGTCGCCGTCTCAGACGACGACCCACTGTCGTTCTGGTTACTGGCACTCGCAGCTGAAGATCGTCGTCTCCAATTCCACTTCTTCGGGATCGAAACCTCCGACAGTTTACTCCTCATGGACGTGATCGAGTTGCGAGAAAGTGACAGCTGACGTCTAGAAGAGCTGCCGTTACTGCCGATACTGGTGCTGCTAGTTCGGTTCAGTTCACTGGTCGAGACGATGCTGGCGTCTCCCTCGCCACCGTTCACGGGCATCGACGTCATCGTCGGCATGGCTTTCTTCCGTCGCGGCTTCGACTTGGTCTTCTTTTTACATGGATCTTCACCTGTACGCAGGATGGTGTCATAGCGACAGTACACACACTGCTCTGCCACGTGATTCAGTAGTTCTTGAGGAGAAGAACCCGCACGATCACGCATGAACGCGTGCCAGGACGAGTATCCACCGTCCAGTGTACTCACGAATCGGAAGCCTCGTTTCTGAAAGAACAGAGCGGCCTGGTTGAGACAGTCGGTATCCAGTCGGACGGCATCTCGAATACTCGTCTTGACATCTTCTGACGTCACTAGCTCATGCGGAATGCCGACTCCATGACCCACCAACACGACGTGAACTTGTGACTTCATCGGGTTGAACGCTTCCATGCTCTTCGCAATCAATTCGGGCGAGTCAAACACAGACGGGTCCAGCGTATAAGCCACCGGAATACGGCCACTCTTCAGGTCCTCAGAGCTGCGTAAACCTCGACAGTCAACCACAAAGAAGCGGAGACTGCCAGACCCTGTTCCTTGCTGGTCTCCAGGCTTCTCGCCGCCCATGAGTTGCGCTCCTACTTCTTCCACACTCACAGGTAGCGCGAAATACGCTGAAGGCGGGTCATGTTTCTCCGCTGGATGCTCCCACTGCGTCTTGCCCGTCTGTGTATGATACCAAAAGATCTTTCCCGCAATCGAGCGTGACTCTTTCATGACCCATTGCGACATATCCACTGCTGCTTCAGCTGTAGACTTGCGGTCGTTACTGGACGGCGCACTGAGTCCTCCAGAAGGTGGACCACTCAAGTTGTTACTGGACTTAGCTCGTACCTTCTTTGCGGCCATCCCAGCTCCCGAGCCATAGGCGATCTCGATCGCTTGACGCGAGCAGCATCGGATGTCCGCGGAGCCTTCACGTTGCGAGCACTTGTACGTCCTGGGGGTCTTACTACGTAGCCGAGAGGCCGAGAGACACAAGAAGCGGACGTTCTCTTCGTCAGCAAACGCCTTCAAGTCGAAAGTGGCTCGAATTTGGTCCTGCACTTGCTCCGTTGATCCACAGACGCTAAATTCTTCTTCACGTTGAATTAGTGCCGCAATCACAAAAAATAGTCCGAACAGCGAGTCTCCAGTCAGCAAATATTGGTCTATGACGTACACAAACGCCGCAGGAGGGACCACTTGGTACAAATGACCCAGCAAAAAGTCCGCTGCGAACAGTTTGCCGGCCGACCTCCACTCGTTGCCACACCATTGGTTCAAAAAGTGAGCGAGCTGGGGCGCATGATAACTCAGCAGCTGCTCCACCAATTGCTGTCGTTCTCGTCGCAACGTCTGCGCTTCTTCTTCATCCGCACGACGTTTACTCTCCTCGACCAAGGACGAGGTCGAGTCCATGGAGCTCGATCTCTCCAGCGCGCCTCTCTGGCCGGAAAAGGCCTCGTCCATACTGCTGCTACTGCCTCGGTTACTGCCCTGTCCTCCACCCGCGGCACTCAAGCCTGGAGAGTCGGCGAATAAGCTGTCGGCGACCACAAAATGGGGCAGGAAATGGGCACAATATTGGTAGAAGCAGTCGTAGATCGTGGGCAGCGGCATTTTGAGTAGGAAAAATGGGGCTACCACTCGAGCCATGCCCGTGGAATACGCCACACTCTTTGTGGTCAAGAACCACATGAGCAGCACCTCCAGTTCCTGTTGCACCCTCTCTCTACTCTTGAGGTCTGAAGGCTCCAGGATCTCGGCCACATCGCCGCATTCGTCCACGAGTAAAGGGTCTCTAGGAAGCTTCCCGAGTCTTTGCAACATGCGGTCGAATTCCTGTGCTGCAGAGCCGTGCTGGTTGCGTTTGTACACGTTTAATAGCACTTGCCAGATCTCGCCACGTAAAGGGTCGCATTGAGGCGGAAGACATGGGTACACGCTCGAGAGAACGCAGTTCTTGACCTCTTCCACGCCTGGACGACGTGTGATGGGTCTTTGCGCAATTTCAGCGGCGCTGGAAGCTGCAGAAGACGAGGATCCGCTCGAGAAGAGCTGCAGCAGACTCTCGGCGAGACTGCTCCGCTCCTGGGACGACTTGGAGGACCAGACTCGCATGGATCGACGACTCAAGATCTTGCCCAGAGCCTCCTGCTGCTGGTGGCGGAGATCCGAGACCGGGGACGACGCAGCGCGAGCGGATGGAGACGCCATGGGCGACAGAGAGTCTGACACTGGAAGACGTTACAGCGATAGTGAGGGGGAGAGGAGAGGGGGCTTGTATTAAGGATGTGCGTTTGACTGCGAATTTGTAAGGCTCTTTACTAAAGTCAAGTAATTTATGGGAAACAAGTCTGATTTCGGTGGATCGTTTCTGTCGGTATGGGACAATCTGTCAAGTGCACGATGTAGCCATGTCGGGGCGTTCAAGATGGCTACAGTTTCTGTTGAAGTGACGCTAGAAGGTGGTGAGCTGCTGCAAAAGTATCGACAGGCTGTACCATGTCCATCCGTAGGTTGATAAACGTGGCTTCAGTAGAAGATCGATGCGAGATTGAGACGTGGAGAGGTTCACAGCGAGAAAGCACGAGTCGGAACGCGTTGCCAAGTACCCGTTCGAGAGTGTTGCGCTTCTCTGCTAGTGGCAGTTGAACGTAGACATCAGAAGGGAGACCCAGCAGACTCTCGACTGTGTCACCTTGACACAGAACCAGCAATGGAGCGCTCTGAGATCGTCCGTTCTCTACCGTCACCGCCAAGCTTTGAAACCTCTGCACCGTGTCTTCCAAGCCGAAGAAAACTTCTTGACAAAAGGAACATTTCCACTTAGGCAGCCCCGACACCGTTTGATCTCTTGGCACCATCTCCAATGGTCGAGAGCAAGATTTATGCGCACACGTCGTGGAGTGTCCCTTCTCACAAGTTGTGTCGATCATGTGTGACGATCCAGGAATCAGCCAGCCCACTGCTGTCACCGTCATTTCGACCATCGCGAGTGGGTGCTTTGCGACACTATGCAGCGTTGTCGACCGATCTAGTGCAGTGTTCATAAGACCAGAAGTCGTATTCACCACTGTCAACTTGGAACTATTGCTGAATAGGGATTGCTTTCCGAAAATGCTTTCCCAATCCGAACACAGCACGACGACATTGGAAGACGACGAAGAATTGTACGCTGCTGTCGGAAAGGCAAACTCAGCCGAAGTCGCTGAAGTCGGTGGCGTGAAGGCTCGTTCACGGAATCGCCTCACGGATTTGGACTGAAGATCCATCGCCACAAGTCCATCCAGGAAGACGCTCTGGCCAGGCAGAAGACGTAGTGCTGTCACTGCATTCGCACCTGTTACCTCGATCGTCAGTAGACTTTGAGAGGCCGCGATGTAGACTTGTAGCATCACGACCAGGTAGTACTTCGACACGATGGAGCGGTCCAATGGAGGAGGCTGCGCTGTCGTGTTCACGTCGCTTGGCTGGTTCGTCTTGGGGTCGTAGTACGCGTAAAAGAACGTCGCAAGTAACGGAATACCGTGTGAGACTTTGATGCACCTCACATGAGCATACAGCGAGAAGTTGTTCCATCCTGGTTTGATCTCTTCCAATCGGGAGAATGGCCGCTCCATCTCGCAATAATTTGGGTCACGTGCTGGAGTAGTTGTCGTCGCTGTATCAACTCGACATGGCTTGCAGAATAACACGGTAGCACTGCCGTATTCAAAGAAATACAAAAGTCGCTGCTGAGATGAATACTCGTTCAGAATGTGCAGAATCTCCGTGTCGTGCTGGTCGCACACGTGCACAAACGGATGGAAAACTGCGAGCGTGTCGCCAACTCGGAACAAGCGACTGAGCGCCACTTGGTCGGCCCACAGAACCATCAAGTGCAAGCCTTGTGTCATTCTCTGCGTGTTGGGTGTCGCTCCAGGCGGGGGACGAGTAATGCTCTGATCAACTTCTCCCAGTAGAATCACTTGTCTGTGTACGTACAACGGCGTTTGACAAGGTCGAATGGCTCCAATATCAAGTACTTTGGCCTTCAAGAGCAGCTGCTGAACCGCTGTAGGGTCTTGAGCCCCACCGACCAACTGATCCACTTGACTCAAGCTAATTGACTCACTCAATAGCCTCCGATCCAGCGGTCTTGCTCCATCCAGTCGTGCAGTTAAGAAAGCGGTAGGCAAAAGTGTAAACTGGACTCGGTCACTTGCTGCTGCCATTGTCGTCCCCACTTGCTTCCTCTCCAGAAGTTTCGCATTGGTGAACGCAATTTTCCGTGCTGTCTGAAAAGGGAACATGGCTACACTGTATCAACAAAAAGTAAGCATCGTCACTATTTAAAAAACACACACACACAATATCACCCACCTACTGGGTTCATACTTCAAAGTACTTTGCAAAAAGTCCACACACGATCGGAATCTCTGGTGCAAATACCTGGCTCGCCCACAATTAGACCCAGTAAACATTCCTGAGTCAAATAATACAACCACTCACATGTGAGCCGTAACGTCCATTGCGTTCGCCATCTCAATCGTCAGGCGGTGGTTCCCGTATCCCGTGATTTTGGCCTGTAGAGCCTCCTGTTCCCCTTCCGCCAATAGATCGCCCATGTCCTCGTCGTCTCGAATCTTTCTCCTCTTGTTCGGAGCTCCCACCTTTTGCTCTGTGGTTCCTTTCTCCTTGTATTTGAGTAATTTGGCCAAGTCAGTGACCACCACTGCCTCGGTGAGACCGTCTGGATACTCCTCAATGAGCCGCAAGAGTTTTGAGAAGACCCAGTAATAGGGGACACCGGGAGCCTCTGCACCGATACTGCGCTTTCGCTGCCATAACTCCCGTAGCTTCTGCTGCACGAACAGTATCTGCCGCTCTACGAAGTCGAAGTTCTGGTGGACAGCTGCGCTGTGTGTCTGAGGACCCGGCTGCTCGAGTTTCTCGATTGCATCAAACAACTCCATCGATCCCTTCAGTGAATTGGTGGTGTGGTGCACATAGGTATTGTGAATAACAACCACGGTTCTGATAATTACTCAGAACCTCTCAGAATCAGGAACTAAGTTCTGAGAATTTTTGGGCTCGGAGCGACTTTCATTGACAAGTTCTCTTTTGTTGGACAGTTGCTTTTTGAAACTGTAAGCCCAAGGGCTAAAGTTTCACATTTTGGGCTCAGTAAAAACTACGACGAAACACGTGAACCTAATATTTCGGTAATACTGGTTCATACCGAATCTGTCTGAAACCAGGAACTAAATTAAAGGCGGTAATTGGTTCCTAACCGGTAAGTTAAGTCATATGCGTTAAAAAGTGTAGATAAAATTTCTCTACACTTTAAACTGGTGGGTGTAAACCAGAGTGGAATGAAGTAACTAAAGTAACATTCAAATTTTGAAATTTTAATTCAATTGTAACGCTAACTGGTGGCCTCGGGCCGTCCTTTCTCTCCTTGGTCCATGTATCAGCGCCGGATCCCCTGGGCCTCATGGGCGATCATGGATAAACCCACCCCTGACCACAAAATTATCTGGGCCCTGGATCTTGATGAGCTTCGCTGCTCCCAGCACACGTGCACTCTTCCGCTTCATCTCGTCCGGGTTCGGCGTTCGCCCTGCCTCTAAGGCATCAATCTTGTTTGATACTTGAATCCCTATTTGCATACGCCGAGATCCGTCAAGTAGATCCTAGATCACACGCGTCCTCGCCACCCGATACCCAGATCTCGGAACTTACATTCGTCCACTTGGATTTGAGTCGGTATCTTCATTTAGAGTCCAAATCGCTACAGTGTCTGTTCCGATCCATCTCTTCGGGATTCAGATCGTTGTGTCTGGATCAACGGTGTCAAAATTTATAGAGGAATACATTTTAGTTAGCGTATGCTGGCTGATTACTTATCGAACAGTTTGTCGTATGTTTTAATAGACGGAGAGAATTAGTTGAACGTTTGCAAAAGGGCGCACCGGGCGCCCTTTGACATCTTGATCCGGTGCCTTCTTTTGCAAAACCACTTTAAGGGCGCACCAGGCACCTTTGTGCCACGAACGGGTCAATAACCTCAGTTAGAATAAAAGTTTGGCTGTTTGAAAAAAAAATCTAGGAAGATACGTTTTTGGTTTTTTATGAGCTAGAAACCAAGCAGAATTAAATAGATGTTTTTCAATCGCCCAATGCGCACTAGAACCACTGGAACAGAGTATCGAAAGTTTGCGTTTCACTACACTATGAAGCTTGGTTCTCGGCTTCCAAGGTCAATTGTGACGCGCTTTGAATGCTTCTTTTTCGCATACCAAGGTCAGGTTCATTCTGTCACCACTTCCTTACTGTTTCCCACCGGCACTATTGTGCGGTTGCTTCTAAAAAGAATCGTACAGCGTGATACCCGCGCGCTTAGCCGTCACGCCCTCCGTCGACAAGGTTTATGTTCTGGCAATTATCTCAGTTCCCGCTTAGATACGAAAAATGCCAAATTTTCTTTTAAAGTGTAGCAAAAAAACATTTTAAAAGATTTAACGATCACCTTGTTTTGAATAGACTCATTTGCCATTACAGACTCCGCCCAGAAACGGAGCTGCACGTACAGCTTATCCCCTCGCAAACGCGGTCCTACTTCTTTCAGCATTTTCAGTCTATTGGTTTGGGCTTGTTGAGGAAGAGGCAAATACCGAAGTGAGTAAATAAGTGCTAACCAAAACTGTCCAACATGTCTCTCTAAACACTATCTCTCTGTTGTTCCTCTTGTTGTCTTCTCGTAAGTGTGGCGTAATCACTAATGCCGTGTGTCTTCATCCAATCATACCGCTTCAACATATGACTACCCAATGGCGTTCCAGAAGCAGTTCCAGTCAGTCGTGGAACGGCTCAGTAAACGCTCCAACGGTCCCGCCTAACCGTGCTGAGCCGGTGCAACAGCAACATTCCCACTCACCGCTTCTGCACGGTAGCCTCGTTCTTAGTGCCGGCCGCATCGCGCTGGAGCGCCAGGGTATTCATCCCATGCGACTTTGTTAGCGTGTCGGCCAGTTGGAACTGCGCGTCGCCGTAGTCCACCTTAGCCGTTCCACGTTCCACTTTCTGACGGATGTCGACGTGCATGGTGTTTGCGTGATATCTAGAGCTCCTCTGCAGTGTGATAGCGTCCTTCCAAATCGCTATCGCTCCCAATTGCTTTTGACCGGTCTCCTTGTGCATCCGTCGCGGCCATAGCATCTCTTTCGTGCATAGGCTCAGAACCATGTACGCCAGACACACGAGCAAGGAGCGGTACGGCTGCGACTGCATGTTGAAGCGCTCCAACTCGATTGTCGGCGACACAGCCGTATATAGCTTCACGTTTGACGCGCATGGGTTTTCCACCACCTTGGTTTTATGCTCATTGAAGCGTTCCACAACGTCGTCAATGCAACTTGTCTGCTTATCCATAAGCGTTCCATCTGAAATGCCGTAACTGATCTCCGTACCCAGAATGAACTTGGCCTCGCCAGGTTTCTTCAATTTAAAGGCGTTCTTGAGCTCGTCCTTGTATCGGATAATTTGTCCATTCTCGTCACGCTTCTTGGCAAACACCCAGCGATTTTTGATAGGACGTGCAGGCGTTCCATGTGGAATGATAGTCCTCGTTCAGCTCTCAGCGCGAGTCTGCACCTTCTCCTTCATACCCTGACGCCGTTCCTCTGCTTTAGCACTAGCAGCTTCGTC